ATTATAAATCAAAAACATTTTGTCTTTTAGTAGCTAAGTTTCTGAAGAAAACTAAACTGTCAACCTTTTTTAATAAGAGGTGTTGCAATATTTGTCCATCTTGTCTACTGATAAAAAAAACAACAACAGTTATTTACATAAATACACCTCATAAAATTTAACAGCTTTGTGACAACTGAAGGCAGCTTTTTGGAGCAGGGGCAGGGAAATGAGTGCAAGTGCTCTCTACTCAAACTGCTGGGTTATTCTACAATTGCAGCATATTCTGTAACATGAAAAAATGTAGCTGTGCTACTTGCTGTTGTCATTAATGAAAATTAGTTGTCAACTCTGTCACAGACATACTGTACAGCACATGATTGAGAAATGTGTTTGGGTCACCAAAACGATTCATGGATATACAGCACTTCATAAGTCCCTTGACAAGTTTTTATTTCAGGTTTGTTTTATCTAAAGGAGAACTTTGATTAAACATTTATTAAATATAAAATCACAAAAAAAATTATGGTACTACCTTTTTCTCACATACAGTAAGTCACATAGAAAATGAAATGATTCATCAGTTTGGGTAAATTGGATAATATTCCTCTTTTTAGTGTAATACAAACAAAATAGTTGTAATAAAAATACTATTTATTTTAGACAAATTGTTACCTTATAGTTGACATGAGGGTAACATGGCTGATTTGAGAGCATAGCAGCTATTGAACATAGTTGACAACATTAAGAAATGAATTTACCTTAATTAAAATTAGTTAATACCATTGACTGGCACCAAACATTTTTGAGGAAAATTCTCACACAAAACATAAATTTGTGTGTTTTACTGGACCAGGCTGTAATTTGTTTTGTTGCTCATTATAGAAAGCTGCATCTATAGGTCCTCTGAGCTAGCCGATGGTTTCTACTTGTTTACTTCTTAAAGCAGTAACGGGATTTAACTATCTACCGAGGGACAGATACAATGTACGGTAACATGAGCAATCTCGCTGAAGCCTCTGAAGACATGCACTTGAGGATTTCCTCAGGTCGTTTTTCTCCTACCCAGCCTCAGCAGACTTGCACGTCATCTAAGAACCCCAGGCCACCGTCAATTAATCAATATCTGTGATCTTTAGGCTGTAAAAACCTGTCTTTTCTCTGAACAGAAGCTTTTATAGCATGAGTCACTCTGGAGCCCCTGCACTGATTCTTGTCATTTGTGTTTTCAGTTCAGTAAGTCTGTGTGGGCACGGCCATTTTTCAGAACTGTGTAATATCTTTTTTTTTTTTGCTAAACTGTACTGCTACTTAAAATAGCTTTCTTTTTATGCAAGTTTAAAATTGCAACCACATTTCCATATACTTCTTCTTTTGGTCTACTACTATATGCTACTGTTAAATGTGTATATAAATATTGTTAGAAATGTAAGTGACTACTGCAGCTTGCACTCAAATATATAAACTTTTAATAATAAAACACCCCACTAGTTAGGTTGTTGAGTGTGCTGTTATGGCTATTTGCCATGACTTTAATTCAGATTGAAAGAAAAAGGATTAGTTTAAAAGATCTTCAAATCTTATTTACCAGATCTTACTGACAAAATAGATTTACAATACTTACGCGTTCCTAAGCCCAAGCTTTTACAGAACCGATTTAAAAATAGCGTAGTGTGAGGTTACATACTGTAGAAGACTCTGGGACACTGATAGAAGGAGAAATTGAATGCCCTCAACTAATTGCATGTGTCCAAATAAAACTAAGTATTAAAGTGCGGTTTGAACATTTTATAGTCTCTCGTACTTTTGGTGAGAAGGCTTCTGTACTTGCATTTTTAGACCAGTCAGTGTGGGGGGTGTTGTGCCCTGAAGTTACTGGGGAAGCGACAAGTTCCACCCCAGCTGTCCGCCTCTCTCCTCCAGCCCCTGGGTCTCTCCCTCGCTTCCTCTCCCTGTCTGGGGGGGAAACAGTGATCACAAGATTAGCAAAAATAATCCTTTTTTAACCAGGTGAGGCAGTGGAAAAGAAGTTATCATTTACAATGGCTGCCTAACATCTGTCTGTGTTATACCATAGACAAACTAAAAAAGGACAATCCACATAAACCAACATTTACAGGATGGAGCAGTGTTCACCAGTGCATGTGTCAGGCAGAAAAAACTTAAACATCAAATATTGAAGGACCCTCAAATATGAGCATGTACTGTATGGTTGTAAGTGTAAAGTTTATGTTGTAGGATGATAATGTGAATTACGATACGTTTTTAACACATAAGTTCATTTAAGCCACAGACGTATTTATCTAGCATGTAGTGAGGGCCATTCAGAGAATGAAGTTCACAGAGATGAGAGCAGTAGGCGCCACCAGATAACTCTTTTGGCAGAATCTAAAACTTTGTTTCTCCAAGAGCAGTTTTAGACATCTTCCTGTAAACAGTACCACCATAGTCAAGATGGGGAGTACAAACACCGAACTAGTAAATTCCTAAAGAACAGTATAAAACAATATTGTTTCATGATTAAACCAAGTCTAGACTTGACAACAGTTTGGAATTTAGCATTCATGTTAATAAGAAATTTCAGTTCACGACACTTCTTCATCATGATGTGTCTGTAGGAGCAAATGCAAAAATGCATTGGGTAGGCTATGACATGATGAGACAAATAAACTTAATTATCCCTTCCTTTTACACAGCCTGCAGCACTTAATCAGATTTGGGAAGAGCAGCTACAACTGTAGACCAGTGAATAGCTCTTTGGAAGTAACTTGTTTTTATTACTAAAAGTTTAGATGTATAATGTATGCTAAATGTTTGTTCTAGCTTGGTCTTCAGTTTAGGTAATGGCCAAAGAACTGCACACCTAACCTGTATACCATACTTTGCTTCCAAATCAAAATAAACATATCTGATGAATTAGCTAACCTGAAAATTAAAGTTTTTTAGTATGTTTAGCAAATTTTGAGAAATCACTCACCCCTGTTTTTTTTATCTTTAAAGGTTGATAGCTTTCATCAAATATCACAGGAATATTAGAATTAGTTGTCTAAAAAAATGGGTGAAAAATGTCAAACTTGAAATGTCATGCGCATTTATCTACTTAATAATGTTGGACAGGCTACTCTTTTTGGTTCAAGTGTTTTTGTAGTTCATTCAGGATCATGACATTTATTGGTCACTTGCAATATCATGTTTCTCAGGGAGGCTGTCGTATATCCTGCAGAGGTGTGTGTTATTTTGGCTAAAATGTGGAAACGCAGAGCTCTCAGGGTTGTGTAGATTGATTTATTTTAGTCATTTCCTGGCAACCAGCAAGGAGCCTGCATTATCTGCTTTTTTAGTGTTTATAAAGTGAATTGTTTTGAAAGTCGTGGCTTTGACTCAGCTTGCTTGCTTAGAGTCCACTATAATGTGCCTGGCATTGCTTTAAGGGGGACTATCATTAAATGAATGTTGTGGTTCATGGCCATGTATGCTCACCTTCAGAATAAAGCACTATAGATTCTGGTTTCAAATCATATGCCACAAAAATAAGTCCCAATCAGTCTTATAATTATGTCCATCCAGCCTGACGTTTGTAGTGACAACCCAGCTTTTTATAACAATTGAGCAAATCCAGCCACAGGCATTTCTAGCAGAAAATGAGCTGGGCTGGTTTATCATCTGAGCCATGTTTAGCTCTCACTGTCAACCTTAGCATAAAAATGAATTGATGAATCTGGTCCATTTGTAATCTGAATTTGTATATCAATTATTAGGTAGTGTTGGAGTTGAGTGTGTTGCTGGACAAGCTCCATAAATTAGACCAGAGCTACTTGCAACGCTGCCTCCTGGTCAGGCATGAGGAAGCATCTGCAAAGGTCCAACGGCAGACTGTCGTTTGCCGGAGACTGGAGCTCCATAAGATCTTCTTCGAAGAACTGGAAGAGGCAACGAGAATGAAGGAACTAGAGAAGAACGTGGCCAATCAATTACTGCATGCGTATTTCTCGAGCCAGGTAAGAGTGAATTCATTTTTAGAGTTTTCTACGTTTTTTATGGACAGTCCAAAACGCGAGTCGATGTTGACATGTATAAGCTGCTTCTTAAAAAATAAGCTGATGTTTGTCATGCAGTTTTTTTAAGGAACCCTTTTAGTATTTCTGTTTGCTCTCTGCTCTCCTGATTATTCTATAGTTACGGTCGGTACCAAGTTTGAGATGCTGGGTGCAGTTTACTTTGTTGGCCATTTTAGCCAATTCGATTAACCCAGTGTGATCATGTTTGCTGTTCTCTAATTATATGCAGTAATTTATGTCTGTTTTTAATTGGCAACGGGGCAGCATAGCATGCAGCTTCTGACACTGCTTGATTGAGATACTTTACACTAGTTGTTCCAGTCCACTCAGCATTGCTGGGGTAATCCTATAGTACACTACAGAAACCAGGATTTCTGGCCCAGTGAGTCAAGGTGACGTGGGCTTTTAATTTTTTATACCTTTAAATTTCAAAACAATTATTCTTGTTTGAATGTTCCAATGTAGAAATGATAAAATTAAACTTGAAAATGAAACATAATGCTATTTGAATCCAGTTTTTGAAACAGTATGAGGTTTGTAATATTAAAATGATTAGGTTTTGTATTCCCGATTTATTCTTTTTTTGTATGATGTGTGTGCTTTGGATTCTTTAACTGTGAGGTTTGCTTGTGTCAATGATGACTGTTCATAGACATAGCCTTGTGTACAGTATACAGTACATACAGTACACTTGTTCTTCTTTGTATTCTGGCTTGATGCTAACCTTTCCTTTTCATACATTGTGAAAGGCTTTGAGAAAATCTATATAAAGTTTCTATACACTCTCCAGATATTGTACAAGGAACACAGAAACAGAAGTAGATTAAGCAATAGAGATTATCTGATTATGCAGTTGCAGAATTAACAGAAATTGCAGAATTGTTTCTTCACCCTGCCCAGTGACAGGACAGGGCTTTTATCATTTGTTTTATTACCAGATATTGGCCTTTAGAACTAAACACTGTTTGCATATGTTAAATTACATGGACAGCTTGTACTTTATAAGGATGAAAAATGTAAAACATTTCTCTGTTCCCTTTACCCTTTTAATGTAATGATTATTAGCACTGGTTTGTTTGCTAAAATTACATTTCAGTTAATGCACACTGTTTAAAAGCTTTTGTTGACTAGTGCTGATTATTGTGCACCCTTGAACATTATTGCATATCTTCTGTGCCATGTGTGATTTATGCCAGACCAGGATTTGATCAATGTCTGTCGGACACATCATCCAGCCCCAAATTGCGCTGTTTAGCACAATAGTGCTAAAAGTATGCCACGTCAAAAGGCCAGCCAACTGGCACAGGAAACGTCTCCACTGGGTATCCTTTGGCACAAAGTCAGCCTAATGGATTAATTAAGCACACTACTGACACCTGTTGGAACAGCGGCCTATTAAGTGTCAACAGCAGCTCATACTGTAACTCTTAGATAAAATTTGATAACCAAATCAGTTTTTGAGATGTATTGTACTACAGTATATAGTAAACTAGCTGTTGCTGTAGAAAGTAGTGTAAATCAATCATTTTCCCGTCAACGTTGAACTCTGAAACATATTTCCAATTGTAGGATCAACTTGAAGAAGTTTTGGACATCTTTCTGGCAAACCAGAGGAGTATTCTTGAAGAGAGACATGCTCAGAGGCAGTTTCTGGCACACAGTCTTCAGAGCTTGAAAACTTTGATCTGTGAAGTCTTTACTAATACTTCCAGGCAGATGGAAAACTGGTTCCAAGACCTAAAGAAGTAAGCCATCACTGTTTTTTCAAAGTATATGTCTTCACATTACTGTAAAAAATAAAGCTGGAAAGATGGAATGTATTTGCTGTTGCTGATGTTATGCCATCTAAGATTATCTGTATTTT